CTTAGGCCTTTCTCTTGACTTGGCACAGTGCCTGGGATATAGTTGGCACTTGAATGCTTCTGGCCTTGGCCTTGGGCAGGTCCCTGGCCTCGGTTTCCCCAGTGGGCCCACGTGATCTCCGAGGCCCTCCCACCTCTGGCTCCCTGGACCTTGAAGTGTATTCACATGGGTGCCCCAGGGGCAGCTCCTTCTGCGGCCTTGTGTGGGGGCGGGGAGCAGCCCCTCGCTGGGGAGGCCTCAGAGGGGACACATGTTGTGAGTCCTCCCAAGACCTCCCCTGACCAAGAGGCCGGTTTGTTTTTCTAATTTTACAGTGGATTCTTTTTTCATTAAAAAACAATTGAAGTGGAATTTTTCGTCGGGCCCAGGCTTTCTCAACTGTTGCTGTTACTGTTTCAGGCGAGTGTTTTTTCTCTGTCCGTCTGGGGCTGTCTTCACGTATCCTCCTGTCTTTGGGGGCACTTGGTTGGCTTTTGGAAAGTGTTTTGCAAAACATTTCCACCTACCCTACAGTCTTATTTTATCTGCACCTCAACCCTGTGATGTGTAGGAGGGTAGAGGGAGTTAGGCCCATTGCACATAGGAGTAAACTGAGGCCCACAAAAGGGAGGCGGTTTATCCGATGTCACACTGCTGGTGGATGGCAGAGCCCTCCAATAAGGTGCCCGTGCTCGTGGGTGGGGGTGGGGTATCACAAAAGGAGCTCGTCCCAACGGCTGAAGCAATGGGAAATGTCTCCATTCCTATGGCTTCCATTCAATGGAAGGGCGCTGGGCCATTGTCTCCCCCACGATAACCTGTACTGGGTCAATCCGGCCAATTCAGGACAAAGTATCTCATGCAGGTACGGGGGTAGAGACAAGGGCTGGCTAAGATCAGCCCCTGCCCTCAGGAGGCTCACTGTCTCTTGGAGTAAGCTGCAAACCCAGAGAGTTGTGATACCCAAGATTCGATTCTAATGCACTGGAGGGATAAAGAAGAGAAAACTGGGGGCAGTCTGAGGGCAGGAAGGTCATTAGCAATGGGATGGAGTAGAGGGGCTGGATCTGGGAGGACTGCTTGGAGCTGGTGCCTTTGGAGTTGGTTGGGCTTTAGGGAAGGGGTGAATTCAATAGGTGAAGACATTCCTGGCACAGGGCACAGTGTGAACAAAGGTATGGAGGTGGGAAACGGGCATTCCCCTTGATGTCTGCATATCCTCCTATTGTGCATAGATGGAAAATTAAACAGCTAGATTCTCAGCCAGTGAAACAAAGGCCAATGTGATGAGATTAAAGTTAACTTGAAAGGATGTTTTGGGAGTGAGTTGGAATGGCCCCTGGAGCCAGCCCCCTCATCTTCCCATGAAGATTGGCTGGAAGGAAAAACCGAATTGTGTACAGTCATAAGATGCAGCAGGATTTGAAACCAGGTCAGAGGTTGGCCGCCTGGGTGAAGGGTCCCTGTGAGCCTGCCTGGACAGCATCGCCCGATGCTGAAGGGCCACCCGGTCCGTAGCCCTGGCCTGGGAGTGGTCAGGGCTGGAGGCTTGCTTCCTGTTTCCTGGGACCTCTCGATCTCTAGACCGAATATCTTAGAATAGCAGGCTGGCTAAAAGCGGTGATATGTAGACGCAGTGACCGCTCTTCCCGTGGACTGAAGCCCCGTTCCCCCAAACAGCTGCCATAGCGGCGGCTTTAGAGGCAGGCAACGGCTCTCCCCGGCTGGTTTCCGCCGGACGCGGCTCCCCCGAGAGGGGCCTGCCCCGGCCGTGTGGGACCGTGACTGAGAACCTGGCGTCCTGGGCGCTGGCCCAGCGCCCCACCAGAGGGGCTCGGGAGGCAATGCTGCAGTCCAAGCTGGGCGATCCAGCCCCTTGTGACCTCCTGACTGCCTAGCCTTCATAGACGCGTGCACGCTCACACACGGACCCACGGAGGAAGTTGGGGTTGGCGCCCCTGCCCCGACAAGCGAGTTCTCAGCCGCGGTGCGAAGGGGCCGGAGCCCCTGCGTGACCCTGGGCCTCGGCGGAATCCTGAAGGGGTGCCCCGATCAGCCAGCGGGCCTGGTCCTTCACTCAGCGGGTGCCCCCGAGAGGCCGGTGCTGGCTGGCCGGCCTCGGAGGGGCCTCCTGCCCGGCCTCCCGCAGCCCTCGGCCTCAGCCTGACTGGCCTTTTACAGTGAAAGCTGACGCACCGTGCCCCGCACGTGGGTCGGCTCTCCCCGCCAGACCACAGTTTCTGTGGCGAGCCTGTCGTGGCCTCTGCCTCCCCAGGTTTTTCTCACGTCCCCCACTGGACAGTGGGCCTCTTCCCCGCAAGGCCTTCCCCTCCTGCATTGAGTTCCCCAGCCCCTTGCCTGGAGGACGTTGGCCCCCCGGTGCTGGATGCTGATGAATCAGCAGCTGCCCTCCGTGGTGAACCTGCAGGCCGAGCATCCCCTCTGCCTCCCAAGGGAGCCTGGTTCATGCAGCAGCCGCTGCCCCGCCCTTCCCAGTCATACACCCACCCGTTCTTTGTTTCCATCTTGGTCCCCTCATTGACAGTTCTGCTGACCAGGGCCATTCCAGGCTGGAATGAGGCCCGGACAGCCCTGTAGTCCTGGGAAGGCGGGCGGGAGGCTTTGTTGACCTCAGGAGTGTCCGCGTAAAGTCCTCTGGACAAAGGCAGTCAGCATCTGACCCGACTCCCCTCTGCAGACCAGCCCGGGTCTGCCCTAGAACGTTCACGGTCAGAACCACGGACCCGCCTTCGTTGGCGTTGTCCAGATTGTTATTGACCGGGCCCAGACCCATTTGAGGGTCTTGACTCAGATGACGATGATGATGATGATATAGCAACCATGGTCATAATAACAATGGTAATAACTAGCATTTATAAAACACCTACTATGTGTCAGATACTAAGTGCATTACATGTCTGATCATCGCTACAGCCCAGAGAGGTTGGTCCTATTATGATCCTCATTTGACAGTTGAGAAAACTGAGGCAGGCAGAGGTAAAGTGACTTGCCCAGGGTCACACTGCTAGGAAATGCCTGAGGCTGGATTTGAACTCAGATCAGCGCTGTACTCACTGTGCCCCTGCCTGTCTCAGTTAGTTGAGCACGTCAGTTCCAGAGCCCCAGCCCTTCCCCTTGGCCTTGGTTCTGTCACAGGATGGCCCGTACGGGCTTTGGGCCTTTGGGGGACGTGTCAGGCTTAGCAGCCACAGCCCTCCCCCGGGTGCCCAAATCTCTCGCCTCGGTTGCTGGAGTGGCGGCCTGCACGTTTGCCGGCGACCCGGAGTTTGATTAGCCAAACCTTTCTCCCGCCCGTCTGGCCAGACGGAGTTCTCCTTACACCATTTCCTGCACTCTGCGATCCAGCTTACTTGTCCCATGTACCTGCATTCCATTCCTTTGGCTCTGGCCGGCCCCCCACCTCCCCCTTTTCATCGAGATCCTTCACTCCCTTCTCGGCTCTGCTCCGGGACCGCGTCCCACATGAGGCCCCTCCTGGTCCCTCCCCTTTCCTTCAAATTACTCAGGATTTACTGTGAGGCAGCACCACCTAGTACACAATAGCTGCTTAAGAAAGGTTTAGTCAATAGCCAGTAAACATTTATTAAGCACCTACTATGTGCCAGGCACTTGGGGTACAAATATGAAAGAGGAAAGCCAGTCCCTACCCTCAGAAGGCTTACAGCCTAATGGGGAGGGAGGTACCTGTGGGGCGGGCTGGGGGAGAAGCCAGGCAGAAGTCCCAGAGTGGTGCAGCCATGGGAAATGAGACCGCGAGCTGAGCTCTCCCAGTCCGCGGTATGAGCTCCAGAAGAGCAGGGGTGGCTTTGTTTTTGCCTTTGTGCCCTATGGCCTCGCACACAGTAGGCGCTTACCACTGGATTGAAATGACAAGTCACTTACTCTGCCTGCCTCAGTTTCTTCATCTGTCCAATGGGGATAATAGTAGTTGTGACAGGGCTGGTACAGTATTTTGTGAATTTTTAAGTGCCGTGTAAATGCTGCCTGTCCTTACTGTTATTATCGTTACTAATTATTAGTCCAGGTTGTGGCTTGGCCGCCTTCTCCCTGTGTGTCATTCCTCTCTCCCTTTGGGCCTCAGTTTCTCTCTCTGTAAAACACAGGGGTGGATTATTTCACTTTGGTGGAAGACGCTCCACGTCTGGGCTCCAGCCCGGCCGTTCTCTCCGGCTGCCCCCGGGCCTGAAGGCTCTCCCTGCTCTGCTCTGACCACTGACCTCACCAGCTTCCTCTCAGTCCCAGCTGAAATCCCACCTCCTCCGGGAAGCCTTCCCTAACCTTTTCATTCCGAGGCCGTCCCTCTGCTGATTATTTCCCTGGATGTAGCTTGTTCTTAGCCATGTATTTGCGTGTTTTCTGACCATTAGATTGTAAGTTCCTTGAGGGCAGGGACGCTCTTTTGCCTCTTTTTTGGGATCCCCAGCTCCTAGCACAGTGCTGGGCACATAGTAGGTGCTTAATAAATGTTGGTTGATCGGTTCAGCCCTTCTGGCTCCAGGTCTGTGGTCCTGGCCGTCGGCATCAAATGTGGCAGCAGTAAACCGGGCCGTCCTCCTTGGCTTTTAAAAGAGGCGTTGATGCCTGTGGCTTTTGTGTGCCCTTTCTCTTCTCCACATCCCCCCTCCCTGCCCAGCCTGTGCCACAGGGCCCCCTCATGACAGAGCTGAGGAGGACAGCCGAAACATCGCCCGGGGCGCTGGCGTATGCGGCATCTTGCACCCGTGGGCCAGGGCGAACCGTTCTCCGGGCTGGCCGCCGTTTGTGGCTCTCCCAGAGACGTCAGCCTCCTCCTCCCGGTCCCCCGATTGTTAGACTCCGTCTCCGTTTTGTGCCAGAGGCCTCCTGCCCGCCTTGGGGTTCTCCTTGCCTGGGGCCTCCAGGGGAGCCCGAGGCTCTGTGGCGGCCTGTCCTGGTGTCCCAGGGTTGTGGTTGACGGTCTCTTCTTTGGGCCCTCGCTCCCGGGGCCCACTAACTCTGTCCTCCTTCTTCTTCTCTTGCAGATGAGCTCACAGTGCCTGCACTTTATCCCAGCACCCCCGAAGTGTGGGCCCCGTACCCTCTGTACCCAGCGGAGTTGACGCCTGCCCTGCCCCCTCCTGCTTTCACCTATCCCGCTTCACTGCATGCCCAGGTAATTGGACCCATCGCCACCACCTGGCTCACTCAAGCACCCGTCCTTCCAAACTCGCCTCCCTCGAGTGCACAGTACGACTAACCCCGTCCCGCTAACAGTCCCCACTTCAGGAGATGACTGTGGCCTCAACCTTGACCCGGAGCCATCCCCCTCCTGAGGCTTGGGAGGCGGGACCGACGGAAGGGATGTCTGTCCCCCACTGCCTGACACAGTTTCCAACACTTTCTTCTCCCTGATGATCTCACCTTCATCTCACCTGAGGGGCTTCCAGGTAGCGCAGGCTGTCACCAGCACCAGGCGCGGTAGGCCGCACGGCGCACGCGCTCCCAGAGGCCAGTTCTCCTGCCGGCCCATCTCCGGGGTCCCTGAGATCCAGGAGGCAGGGTGGCCCCCTTGGGTTCTTTCAGAGTCCAAAGGACGGGCTGGTTGTCACAGTGACTCGGGGGCGAGTCTCTGAGGTGCCGTAGGCACGTCTTCCCGGGGCTGCACAGTCCGACCGCACGAGGCCCAGGCCTCCTTCCTGTTCTCTGTCTTTGTTAGAAATGACCCCTCCATGGCTCTCATTAGTAGCAGGCCTGCAGCTGTCTTCAAGGCCCCTGTTCCCTTCCCTCTGAGAGGAACCGAGGCCTTACCTTTCCCTCATTTCTCAGATGAACACACTGGCATCCGGGCAGGAAAGGGCTTTCCAAGGTCACGCAGTAGTGTGAGGTGAGCCAAGCTTCAAACCCTGAAATCATCCCCCTGATCGAGCCCTGCCTCCACCGTCTGCTGGCGGCCTTGGAGGGAGAGCGTGGCAGGTCCTAGGCCCCCTCCTTGGTCACCCTCTGGCCTGCCACACCTGCTCTTGGTACTCGGGGAATGGCTCAGGGCTTGCCCCGTTGGGTCACTGACTCACAGGATCCTGGAAAGAACCTGGGGCCTTCGAGATCCTTCCTGCGTTTTACAGATGAGGAACCTTGACTCAGGCCTCTGACTCCAGGCTCAGCCCCTGCATGGCTCCCCAGGCCTGTGGGGCATCCTCATCTTAGCGCCGCCTCCTCCCTGGATGCTAGCCCCACTGCTGTGCCGGAGCCTGGGCTCTCAGTTCCCCCGCTGTGCCTCTCCTGGGACGTGACAGAAGACTGATGTGTGTGACCCTGGTTCCTATAGAAGGAGGGGCTGCTGACCAGCAAAGGAAGCCCTCAGGCCCGTGAGCTCTGCCTCAGAACCGTGGCTCGTCTCTCTCCAGGGACCGTGGGAGGGCTTTGAATGAAAAATCCTAATTTGGACTGGAAACAGGCACAGCACCGCCATGGCGGCCGCTTCCGGGGACCTGTCCCGGGCCCAGCGCATTTGTTTTCTCCAAGTGGAGATGGTTTCTGTCATCAGGAAAGGGCCTGTCCAGTGAGTCAGGGGATGGACTGGCTCCCCCAAGCCAGCCTGAGGCTCCTGGGGCCTCGGAGGCTTTCTGCATAGCCCATTGACAAAGCCGCACGCTGGTGACCTTCCCCACCCAGCCCGGGAGAGATGTCCTAGGAAGGAGAGGAGAGGACAGGAGAAACCGAGAGGCCCCTCTTTGTTTGGCTGGAGATTCTGGGTGATTCAGTCCGTGCCCAAACCAGGCCAAACCTGCCATCTCTCTGGGCTCCAGATTTTCCGTCTATGGATAGATAGATGGTGGTGTTGGGCACTGACTCGGGTCCTGGCTCAGGACTGGAAGCTGCAGCTATTCCTGAGAGCACTAAGATACTGGTATCCTCAGAGCACCTTTTCTGCTTGGATTGATGCTGAGACACGGGCTCCCGGGCCTGCCCTCTCTGCAGATGCCCCCTCCTCACTTTTCGGAATCTCTTGCCTTTCCCTCCCTTTCCCAACCTTCTCCTCCACCCTCTTCCCTCTGCCCCGGGGTCAGGAGAGGGCTGACCTCCCCCTCCTCCGCCACCCCACTGCTCCATCCATCGTCCCCCTTTCCTCACGCTGCTTGAATCTGGCCCCTGACGTTCTCCCTCCTCTCGTCCATTGCCAAACTCCTCAAAAGAACTGTCCGTCCTCTTTATTTTGTAAAAATGTTCCATGTTGTCTGTGTTCTGTTTTTACATTACAGACATTTCCAGATTGCCCACGTTCCCCGAGAGCTCTCTTGTGAGAGAGTAAAACAGTTAGGCAAAAACTAATAATAGGGTGCCCTCATCCGAAAGTGCAGGCAGCATCTGGCCCACCCTGCCGACTTTCTCTTCTGTAAATGTTTTCTTTAATTGGCAGAAATCTATTCATTCTCCCTCCCATCCTACCTCTGCCCCATTTGAAAAAAGAAAAGAAAACTGAATTCCTTGTTTAACAACCAAGCCCAGGCAGCCTGTCTACCCAGATGCCCTGGGCGCGCGGGCACTCTGTTAGAGGAGGCTGGCGTGTTTCAACATCAGCGGTGGGCGTCGTGTTGACTTCTCCCAGCTTTCACAACTGTTTGCTTTTCGGTGTGGACGCTGCTGTACCACCGTGCTCCCGGTTCTGCTCATTTCATTCTTCATCAGTTTATACGGGTCTTCGCCATTGTTCGTTTCTATCGTATTGATATGACAGTAGAGATCCTTCTCCTGGGGGTCCTGCCCCTCCATTTGGCATCAGCTCAGACAAGTCTTTCTGGGTCTTTTTGAAGTCATCTTCTTTTGTTATATTTGTTACAGCACAGAGTACGCCATCACATAAAAATACATTCTCTTTTTTTTTTTGGTTAGGCAATGGGGTTAAGTGACTTGCCCAGGGTCACACAGCTAGTAAGTGTTATGTGTCTGAGGTCAGATTTGAACTCAGGTCCTCCTGACTCCAGGGCTGGTGCTCTATCCACTGCTCCACCTAGCTGCCCCCAAAAATACATTCTCTTAAGCCGTGTATCTATGTTCATAAAAGATGGCCTGAGCTTCGAGGGCTTCTGAGCTGTGTGACTGACCTAAGCTCTCTGAGGCTCACTTTCCTCCTCCGTAAAATGGGAAAGGGTAATAATACCTCTGGCCTCTCCCCTCCTTTGGCTTGTTATGAGGCCTACATGACCAATTGTGCATCAGGTGTTTGCCCACCTTAAAGAACTATAGAAGTGATGGTCCTTTGGCTCTCACCGCCTCAACTTCCCTACCATGTCTTTATGTCTCACAGTCTGCCAGGGCTGCTGCCTCCAAGTAGCCAGTGGCCTTTCTTCTGTCCTGTACCTCCTCGGCCTCCCTGGCACCCTGACACCGTTGGCTCGCCCCTCCCTTGACCTCTGGGACACTGCATCCCCTGACTCCCCTCTTGGCTTTCTGAATGCTCCTTCTGCTGCTTCTCTAGCTCTTCCTACCCTTGTACTCAAGGTACTGTCCTCACTCCACTTTTCTCCTCTGTATATGATCTCCCTGGGCAATCTCATCTACCCCATAGCATTCCCCATTCCCTCCCTTCTCCAAAGACCATAGATTTTCAGAGACAATAGGCTTGTCCATCTAGGGATAAAGAGGGAGGAGGGAGAGCTTTGCCAGAGAGCACGCTCCCCCTCCAGAGCTCCCATGGCCCCCCTCCCCAGGGGGATGACTCCCAGACATGCAGATCTAACAGCCCCAGGCACTTTACTGAATGAGCTCCACCTGGCTGTCCCACAGGCATTCTGAGTCACCTCGTGTAAACTACTCACCTCCCCCAATGAATCCAGCCAGCCCTGTTCCAAACTCCCCTGTTGCTATCTATAAATGCACCATTGTCCTCCCAGTCACCCAAGTTCATGTGCTTTGGGGGGACTGTTGATTCTTCCTTCTGCCTTTCTCCAAGTTTTTTTTTATTTTAATTCTCCCTCTGCACCAACTCTTCACCCAGCCAAGTTTAAGCCTTTCTCACCTCTTGTCTGGATCCGTGGTTCCCATTTATGGTCTAAAGGGTTGATGCTGACAAATCTTTAATAGCGCCTTCGTTAGTAAATGATTGTAATGAATATTAATTAGTATATTCTGTTCCCCTGGGGTGACGTGCCCAGTGTCACACAGCTAGGAAGGTCAGAGCCTGGATTTAGACTGCATCTTCCTGACTCCCCAATTCCTGTGCTTTCTGCCCCATGACACACTGTCCCTCTTGCACTCACAACACATTCCATCATTTTTGTTGAGTTTCACAGAATGAAAAAGTGGGGAACCACTGGTCTGGACAATTGCAGTAGCTTTCTAATTGGTCTCCTTGGCTCTGTTCTCCCCTCATCAAATCCATCCTGTACACACAGATGCTAGAGTAATGCACCTAAGACACAGGTTGGACCATGTCACGTGCCTAATCAGTAACTTCCCTAGTGCCCCCAGGATCAAATATAAACTATTTTGCCAGGCATTCGAGGTCCTCTACAGTCTGCCTTTAGACTATTTTTCTAGCCTCATTTCACAATGCCCCTCTTCCTTCTGGCCAGATAGGTTCACTTGCTCTTTTCCAAATCTGACTGCCATCTTTGACCTCTGTGTATTTACCCAGACCTTCCTCGGTGTCTGAAATGCACTCCTTCCTTCCTCCTGTCCATCTCTCAGAATCTTCCTTCAAAGCTCAGCTTGGGCACCAGATTCTCTGTGAAGCCGTTCCTGATCTCTGCCTTCCCCCTAGTTGTAAGGGCTCTCTCCTTCTCTCTCCCCCTCTCCTTCCTTCTCTTTTCTTTCTTCTTCCTTTCTCCTTCCCCTTCTCTCTCTCTCTCCTCTCTCCCTCTTCCCTTCTTTTTCTCCTTTCCCTCTCTCCTTTCTCCCTTACCTTCTCTCCTTCCTGCTCTCTTTCTCCCTCCATTCTCTCTTCCTTCTTCCCTGTTCCTCTTCTCCACCTTTTCCCCAGTTACCTTGCACTGACTTAGCTGCTTTTCTTTTCCCAAGGAGAATGTAACGGCCTTATGTGCAGAGCCGTGTTGCTCTTTTCATACCATTTCTGGCACCTAGCTTAGAGTCTTGAATGTAGCAGGTGCTCAATAACTGTGTGTTGACATGAACTCAGTTAAAGCCCCAGGGTGAGATTTGTGCTGCTGCTCTGAAATGGAATTCCAGCATCCTCCATAATTTTGGCACAATGATGAGAAAGCCTCGGCAGGTGGGAAGGGGCTGACCGGTGCCCGCTCATCTCCTGCTAGCTTCAATAAATGATAATAGGATCATAGAATTAGAGCCTGAAGTACCTCAGAGGCCACGACGTTCAGTACCCTCATTCGATGAAGAATTGGGCCCAGAGAGCTGAGGTGACTTGCCTGGTGTCACACAGCTAGTAAGTTCAGAGCCCAGATTTAGACCATCTTCCTAACTCCCAAATCCCGTGCTTTCTGCCCCACGCCACACTGCCACTCTTGCCCTTTGACCACTGTGCTGTGGGATGGTCACTTAGTCCAGCCTCAGCTGCCCATTGCGCCACATTGTTCTTCTGGCATCCAAGGGCTGTCGGCCTCTATCCACGGGCACACCAGTCATTAGGAGTTCCTCAAGTCTTTTTGCTACTTTTGGAAATTGGAGCTTGAGGGAAATGAAAGGAGGCTGTGAACCTGCATTTGAAGAAGAATGATGGTGACAGGGTGGAAAAGATAGCGTCCCTCCCGGCGGAATCATGTTTTATTCAGGCTCCACGATGCCATCCCACCGTCCGCACCAGCCCAAGGAGCCGAGCGCAGGCCTCCAAAGTGCAAGGCCACGGTGGCTGCTGGGGCTTCCTGCTGCCAGGAACCTCTTTCGTGCTCACTGAGCCCGGCTCCCTGGCCCTGCTAATGGCCCTCAACAGCAAACATAGTTAAAAATTAACCAAGGAGAACATTAAATATGGATAACCAGCACTGAGCATGGCCTGTGTGTGCCACGAGGGCTTACACGCTTGGGTGCTCTCACCCGGCATGCCTCGTTACTGGGTCTCTGTCACATCCTCGTGTATTTTATCCGCTTCTGTGCAAGCTGCCTTTGCCGGGTCGGCCTGTCCAGCCGGGCCTCCAACACCGGGCCTCTGCTTCTGCTAGCTTCATCTGGCCCTCTTGAAGAGCAGGCCCTCGGACGCCCAAACTGGGGTGAAGGGGCTCGCTGAAGGTGATAGTAAGCAGCAGGAACACGTCCAGTCCAAAGCCTCAGACTCCACGGCTGGTGCCTCACCACTCTACCACACTGCCTCCTTGGACACAGGCCCCCAGACTGCTTGGAGCCAGGGATCTGCCATCAGGGAGGGGAAATCATGGAGAAGAGGAGGAATCTTCAAGGCCTTTCCTCATGTCCTCTTTTCTGGAGTTGGGGACGGTGCAAATGAAGTCTGGGCTGCTTGCTAGAAGCTGGCTGTTTGGACCTTGAAAATGGTGTGATGGCTCCAGAGGAGCCGAAGGGATTTACTTGAATCCAGCAAGCATTTATTAAGCGCCTTCTGTGTTCCCAGCCTTGTGCTCAGCACTAGACGTGCAAAGCCGGAGACTGGCCCAGTCCTGTCCAGTAAAGCCAACAAGGCATCGGTTGAGGGCTCGCTCAGTGCACAGCATCAGCTCACGTAGGCCAGTGCGGGGCCAGGGGAGGGAGCTGCCACCTGACATTTGTTGGTTCAGACATTGCTTTGAGAGCAGACTTAGAGTGGGCAGGGACCGGTCAGTTCAGGGCTTCACCATCTTGCCTAAGGTCACACAGCCAGGATTTGAACCTGCATCTTCTGGTTCCAAATTATGCCCTCACTCCCACACTGTGCTGCACCTCTGTTATGTTTTATCATTTCTTATTACAACAGCAGTGATGATAATGGCTAGCATTCACGTGACACTTGAAGGTTTGCAAAGCGTTTTCCAAATAGTCTCTCAATTGTCCATGAAAGGTTTGTGCGTCTTGTTCTTTTCATGGCCTGCAAGTCCTAGGGAAGACAGAATGGAGTTAAGGTAAACTGCAGTCGAAGACCAGCCTGAGATATCTGGGGAGGGGTGAGAGAACAGGATAAGCCCTTTCTGCTAGGGGAATCAGGGAAGGCTTTAAGGAGGAGGCACCCAATAAGGAGGGCCGTTAGTGAAAGTTGTGTATCTGCAGATGGATGAGCAGAGACATGGGGACAGGAGCAATGGCAGGAAACAGTGCTGATTTCACATGGATCCCTTAGACAGGGGACCGCCATGTTGTTAATAATAATGGCTGTCAACTCTTACCACCGGGCTTCCTTGCAGAATTACAGTGGGAGAACCCAGGGCTGGTAGCTTCCTTTCCCTTAGAACTGTCCAGTTGTAAAGACAGAATTGCCTAGATGCCTCTGGGGGAGCAGAGAATAGAGCGCTGGGCCTGGAGTTGGGAAGACCTGAATTCAAATTCAGCCTCAGACATTTTGTAGCTATGGGACCCTGGGCAAGTCGCTTAACTTCTGTCTGCCTCAGTTTCTTCAGCTGTACAACGGGGATCATCGTAGCACCTCCCTCTCAGGGCTGCTGTGATGAGATAATAATTAGAAAGTTCTTAGCACAGTGCCTGGCATGCAGTAGGCACTTAATAAATGCTTGTTCCTGTTCCCACACTGCAGTGAGGACCCCCCAGTGTCATTGTGAGCAAAGCGTAGTTTCCTCCTTCAAGGATGCCTGTAATCGGTACTTAGGAAAGTGGGCGAGGTGGGCGACTTGTGCAATGCCCCTGATTCCTGAGGTCATTCCTAAGTCTGTCAGGCAGGTATGCTTGGAGCAGCCTGCTGTCTTCCTCGGTGATTTTGCTTTTGAGAAGCAGCGTAGTGGAGCGCGGGAGAGGGAGCAGCTTGAGTCAGAAACACCTGCACTCAATGTCTCGCCTGGGCTTGTGACCTGGCTGAGTGACCCTGGGCGCTGACCTCTCCGTGGGAGCAGAGAAGACGCCCACCTTCTCACCGAGGGCCTCACAAGTCCGCTCCCTTTTACTGTGAGCCGCCCTCCAGACTCTGCCATGCCCAGAATGGCACCCGGGGATTGACGGTGGGTCCCCCACAGCTGCGGCCCCGCTCGCTCTGACGGACGTCTCCCTCTGATACAGAAGAGGCAGGAGCCGCTCTCCCTCGTCCCCGTGTCTGATGCAGACGTCCCTCACAAGCGGGATGGGGCAGAGAGGACGGCTGGGCGGGTGGCTCGGGGCTGCACCAGAGCCTGCCTGGGGCCACGGGAGGAGGAGCCCGCTTCCTTTCTTGTCGGCAGAGCCCCGCCAGGACAAAGTGGAGGCTGGCGCCGTGATTTCCCCTTGGGAGGGGGAGGCTCGCGATGGATGAAGTCCATTCTCCCAGAGTCGTGCCCTCTCCTCACGTTGAGGGGAGTTCTGAGAGGCATGCCCCCAGAGCAAGGGGCACCGAGTCCCGGGTACCCTGTGCGAGGCACCTTCCTTCTTGCTGATGGCTTCCAAGGTCCGCTCTGATCCTCCGGTCCCCCCCATCTGGCAGCCCCCACCTCAGTGGCGTCTCCTCCTCGGCCTCCCCGGAGCCGCTCAGCCACGTGGCGCCCGGAGAACTCCGGGCCGGGAGCTCACTCCCCCAGGAAAGCCCCGTTGTACCCGGGGACAGGCAGCGGCTGCCAAGTGCTGGGCAGTTGGCTCATAAATCCCACCTGTCGCTCCTAGGTGTCTTATGATTCAGAACTGGAAGGAAGCCTTCCCTAGATGGGCATCAGTCAGCTGGTCCCACCAGCTGCTGCGGAGGAGAAACAGGCCCCTCATGAGAGCCTTGCTTAGAGCTGCCTTAGAGACCATCTGTTCTTAGCCTCTTACCTTACAAAGGAGGAAACTGAGGCTGGGGAGGCTGCCCAGAGTCCACAGCACCACGAGTGTCTCCTCACCCCCCACACAGGGCAGCTGGGAGATACCAGGCAGTCCCACCACCGTGAAGAAGTGGGCCGTCTCCCTCCGGTGCACTGGCGACCCCACAGCAAGCTTTCCCAAGCCCATCAGAGCCCCGAGGCTTCTGGGAGGACACTTGCCGGTCAAACCCCAGTGGGTCGCGGCTTCCATTCCCAGCTACCGCTTCTGACCCCTCTGGAGTCACTTCCTTTCTTGTTTGAGGGCCGCTTGTCTGCCACCTTACTGTGGATCCTTGTTAATTCAGTCCAGTCCAGCAAGCATTTCTGAACCACCTACTGTGTGCCCTGCACCGTGCTAGCCACTGGAGGGGCATTGATAAGAAGGAGAGCCAGTGTCTGTTCTCTGGGCGCTTCCATTCTAACTGGACCAGATGTGGTATGGCCTAGACCAGGCTTGCGAGAGCCATTGGATACAGGGTCTCCGATGGCAGAGAACACCCCTAGGGCATGTGTGTGGGCAACGTGATTGTGGGAGTGGTGTCCGTGGGGGCCAGGGAGGGGACAGTCAGGCCAGGGTGCTAGATGGAAGGCAGGCTTCCCCAAGATCACCTTTCCTTACACGGGAATCAGACCATCTTCTCCCTTTCCTCCTTCCTCCCCACCCCCCATCAGCCCTCCTTTCTTTCTCTGATGCCTTGATCACATCAGGTGCCCAGCACCTCCGTCAGTGCCAGGGAGGCACCAGTTCTCACCAGCCCTGCACCAATCCTGACCTCCGATGCACAAGAACCCTGCCCCCATTCTCCTGTGTGTCACCTCTAGGTCCCCTGGCCCCAACCTGTGTCAGGGATTCTGTCCCCTCTCCCCTTCCTTCACCACCTGTCTCAGGAAGGCCACTCCAGCTCTGCTCTTTGCTTAATGAGCAAATGGATTCAGATGCACAAAGCCGTGAACCATGGGTAGGTACTTGGTTTCTTTCTTTCTTTGTTTGGGAAGCTTGGACTCTGGTCCCTGTGTGGTGCACTCCTCAGATGTGTTTGCAACATGGCCGTGATGGTGTTCAATGGGCGTGGGCGTGTACGGGTGGGAGCCCAAGGTAGAGAGAGGCCAGCTGTGGACCTCCTCCTGGGCCAGTTGCCTGCCGTGCTCTGTGGTCCTGTTAGGTTTCACTGGGGTGTTGAGCCCCCAAGGGGACAGCAAGAGCCCAGAGGCTCATCTCTGCTGCAGAGGAGATGGTGCCATCATTCTTCCTTCAGGAGGTGACGTGGCTTAGCTTGGGGCCGAATCTAAGGGCCCTCCCAACTTGTACATTCCCTGTTCTAAAAGGCCCATTTCCATCCATGATATTCTGCGGTCTAAGGGCCCTTCCTGCTCTGACGTTCCCTGTCCTGAGGTCCCTCTCAGTTCTGACGTTCCCTGTCCTGAGGTCCCTCTCAGTTCTGACGTTCCCTGTCCTGAGGGCCCTCCCTGCTCTGACGTTCCCTGTTCTAAAGTCCCTCCCTGCTCTGACGTTCCCTGTCCTGAGGTCCGTCTCAGTTCTGACGTTCCCTGTCCTGAGGTCCGTCTCAGCTCTGACGTTCCCTGTTCTGAGGTCCCTCTCAGCTCTGACGTTCCCTGTCCTGAGGTCCCTCCCTGCTCTGACGTTCCCTGTCCTGAGGGCCCTCCCTGCTCTGACATTCCCTGTTCTGAAGTCCCTCCCTGTCCTGACATTTCTGTAATTCTGAGTCTAAGGCCACTCTCTTGGAAAGATAGCTCCAGCCGTTTGGGTCAGTGACATGAGGGAGCAGTCGTTTTCCTCCTGGCCTCCCCTAAATAGGGTTCTCCCTCCCCACTGACCACTCCACATCAGAACGCTCGACACGGCTGCAGAACCTGTCGGCCTCCCTTCCCTCCCAGCTCTCTCTCTCCCTTTCCTCCTCTGACTTGCCTTCCGTAGATGGGCATCAGTCAGCTGGTCCACGCCACCCCCTCCCAGAGCACTTCCTGTTGTCTCTGCTCTGGTCCCACCAGCTGTTTCTTTCAGGAGGCTCTGGCTGAGCAGTGAGAAGGGGGCCTCCTTTCCTCCAAGGGCAAACTGATGAAGGAGTCAGAGTTTCCTGCCAGCTCCTGTCCCATGGCTCACACACATAATGGGGCAGTTAGGGCAAGGACCCCTTCCCCCCAAACCTGCTGACCCGGGACCCCTCCTATGGAGCCAGAAAGGGCAAGCCCCACTCCGCGAGTACTGTCCCAGTCTGGGAAGTCAGTGGGCCTCCCCGGACCGCCCTTGGTGCTGCAGGGCCGGGAAGGCTCAGGCAAGCTTGCTGCAGTTTTCCGGCCCCAGAGCTAGCTGTCTGCCGCCCATCTTTGAGGCTGTATTCCTCTCAAACCCAGTGGGATGGGATGCTGCTGACATGAGCAGATGGTTTGGCCACCCTGCCAAAGGCAGGAACTGCTTCCTTTTCAGGGAACAAGTGGCCCGGGGAGTTGGGGGCTGGGGTCAGGGAGAAAGGCTGACACAGCTCTCAAGACAGGAGCAGACCTCCAGAGGGACCTCTGGCTCTGCCCCAGCACTGGCTGTCCTGGGACGGACTGCCTTTCCCGGTTACTCACTTGGGTCCCTTCCAGGAAGCCCTGACTTATCAAAGTGGATGCATTTTTCTATGATAAAGCAACATCCTGCTTACAGAAATCCCCCTCTCCCCTCCCCCAAACAGGCAGCCCCCTGGTTCCTTGCCAAGGTCTTTCATTCCTGCATCGCTCTGGGAACATGGTTTTCACAGGCTAGCTCTCAGCCCTTCCGCTCCTCAGACCTGGCGACTCCCTTTCTGTTTGAGAGCGAGGAGCTCGGTCCCTGTCCCCGCTTTTCCGGACGGTGCAGGGGTACAGATGACTTTGTGAGGTGTCTGGCAGATGCTTCACCACTCTTCCGGGACCTGTGTCTGTCTGGAGAACGTGTCAGACCCATCAGTTTGGAAAGGGGCCGCGGTGGCGGCTGACGAAGCCCCCTCCCACGTTGCCCTCGGTTTGCCTACGCTAGCCATCCTCGGATTTGAGGGACTCCAAGGGGCCCCTGGGCTTAGTGGAAAGAGCCCTGGGATGGCGGTCAAGGGCCCAGGGTTAGCGGCTACACATGGCAATGAGTGAGTTCCGTTATTTCTCTGGGCCCTTTTCTGTCTGCAGTAAGGGTATAAAAACGCCCCTCTTGCCTGCGTGCTATGAGGAAGGTGCTGGGGAGGGCTTGTGAAGCACACGCTGGAGCTGGGATCTGGGGGGAGGGCACGGCCTGGCCGTCATGCCCGGACTCAGCTGGGGCGGCTCAGCCCGACTCACGGCTTGCTCTCTCCGTGTGCCCTTTCAGATGCGCTGGTTCCCTCCCTCCGAGGCTACTTCTCAGGGCTGGAAGTCCCGTCAGTTCTGCTGAACACTGTGTAAGTAGCGCCCTCGCCTCCTGGGCCAGCCCGCCTGCCTTGGGTCCTCTTGTCCCTTTTCTTGAAGCAGAGGAGGCCAGGGAGAGCAAAGCCCCATGCTTCTCCTCATTTAAGGATGTGGGTGCTGCCTGGGGGATGCAAGCAGCCCTGTCTAGCTAGGTTCTGTAGGCCAGGGGACAGACTTCAGGTGTGGCCAAGTTATCTGTGAGCAGCGCATTTCCCTCAGGTGTCCTGCATCCTCAGGAAAGAGGGAAGACCCAGGCATCCCAGGTGTCCCAAAAAAAGCACCAGTGACCTTGAAGAGGTTCCAGATGGCTTATCCATCCCATTTAATTTGGCCAGCATTAAGAACCTTCTGTGTAAGGCCCTGGGGGTGGAAAGCAGCAGTGAAGCTGACCCTCCCTTCAAGAATCCCCCCTTCTACAAGGTCCTGTACAGGCCCTACTTTCCATTTCTGTTCAGGTCCAGTTCTGCGAGCTGACTTCCTGCTCCATGGGTGTGATTGGGTCTGGGCATGTCCCTCTTCTAGGAAATAGATGGAATCAGCTGAGTGCTGGTCCTGTGGCCTGGGCTGCATTATTAAGTGCCTTTGTGGCTAAGGATTAGCGGTCATCCCAAAGAGAACACTCAGGGGTCCCTTCCCTGGGGCCCTCCTCTGCCACCGGCAAATTAGGTGTGGAAGCCCAGTCAGCAAGATCCGCAAAGTCTCAGACAGCTAAGAGAGAAGAGTCCGCCATGATTCTGAAGTCACTGTTTGTCCTTGGACCGTGACATCAGACAGGTGATGCCATGACATGCAAGGGAACTGGATTTAAGTGAGGGAGACTGTGCAGGGTCAGCAGCCTCTGGGTCGGCGTCCCTGACAGAGCAAAAGCGATTGGGTGGGGTTAGAAGAGAAGGGAACGAATTCAATTCTGGATGTGTTTTTGTGCTTGAGGCACCAGCGAGATGCACAGAAGGAGGCGCAGCGCAGAGCTTGGGAGAGGGGTTACGGCCTGGTGGAGAGATGTGGGAAACACCTGAGTAGAGGACGATCAAACCCACTGATGCCAAGCAGCTGACCAAGACGAACAATGCAGGAGGGAGAGAAGACAGAGCTTTGGGCTGGCAGAGGGAGGGTGGTTCAGCCAAGGAGACCAAGAAGGGGCAGTCAGGGAGGTGGCAGGAGAACCAGTCCAGTCTAGGAAGGGTTCGATAAGTGCCAAATGTGTGCTAGGCTCTAGGAATCCAGGAGAGAGCAACGTCAGAGAAGCCAGGAGAGGAGGGGATGCTCAGCTCAGCTCAGCAGGGGGGCGTGCTCAACGCTTCTGCAGCCCCAGAGGGGGCCCGCGGGATGAGAAGAGGCGACATCACGGTGTCAGCGAAGAGATCCTTGATAACCATGGCATTAGCGTCAGCTAAGTGGCAGAATCTGGAGTCGGGCCATAAGGGATTGAGAAGCAAGGAGGAGGTGAGGAAATAAAAGCAGAGCAAGTTAGATGTGGCTGTCACGAAGGAGGACCTTTTATTGTGTATCGAGCTAGTGCGGAATGCTAAGTTATTTGTGATAGGCTCTTTGTCCACCCTTTCATACATCTGCAGGGCCTGAAAACGTTGCTGGGGAGAGGGAGCTAGCGTGCAGTAAGGCCACTTTCTGATGTGGGCTTTTTATTTACTTAAGAGGCAGGAAAAGCACATTTTGTGTGAAGCACAGAGAACAGCAGCTTGAGAAGGACGAGCAAAGGTTCTGGGAGGACCAGAGTTTTCACTCAGCGTGCCCCAGGGAGAGGCAACTGGGGCACGATGACTTACTTCTGATGGGAAGGATGGCCGCAGGGCAGCATTTCCCAGCAGCTCATTTATCTGTGACTGTTTTTAACCCTTGGACATTTTTTGTTGAGAAACACCGAATCAATCCCAACTGTTTTGGGACTAGGAGACTGTTGTATACTGAATGTGTCTTGTCTGAGAGAAATGTGCATTTGGAGGTTCTCAACCCGAGTTAGAGATGAGTTATCCCATCTGAGGATCACATTTCATTTGAACTGGGATTTAAAGAATGAGCACAGAGGCAGAAGAGGGCAAATACACACGTAAGCATGGGGCCTGGCCTGTGTGTGGGCACTCAGACAGGAGGCGGCGGCTAGATTCTGGACACAGGTGGTCCTGTGTGGCTGGTGCTGCTTCATGAAGGGGAGTAGAATGAAGTCAGTTTGGAAAGTTAGGGGGGAGACAGGTTGGGAAGGACTTTCAACACAGGGCTGGGGAGTTTGTATTTTGTGCTGGAGTCTGTGGGGTGCAACTGCAGATGCTTGTGCAGGGAATTTCAGCAGCTACACAGGTAAGAAGATGAGAGAAGGGAGAAACTGGAGTCAGGGGGCCATGAAGGCCACTTCCTTTGCAGAGATGAGAGGTCCATGGTTATGGGACGTTGCATGGATCTTCAGATTTTTTTTTTTCTATGTATTTATCAGTTTTTGCTGATTGTTTTTTTCTCTTCCTGTTCCTTTTTTTTTTCCTTTGAAAAAAATATCTTTGTTATAGGGGATGCCTCCGAGAGCAGGGAGTAATCTAGGTGATGTAAAGCAAAAGATAACAATAATTTTAAAGAAGCTATTCCACTACTCTAGGAGAGAGGTGATGAAGGCAAAAACCGGGCTGGCAGCTGTGTGAGTGGGGAGAGCAGGTTGGCTACAAGACATGCAGCAAGACTTGGTACCTGATTGGATACGGGGCAAAGGATGTGAGGAATGAGTTACAGCGGAGGTTGTGAACCTGTAGGGCAGGGAGGATTGTGGAGCCCTGAGGTCTGGAGATGTTTCAGTGAGGAAGAAGATGATATCAGGTTTTTTCTTTGGCTGCGTCCCAATCCGAGTTCCTTTCCCATGGGGGATGGAGTTTCTCTTTCACAAATCTAATTTAGTAACTGCAGCTGAAACATAAATATCCTGGTGGGGCGTGGGAAGACAGGCATGCTGAATCACGGCTGTGAACAGGTCCGTCCATCCAACTGTTTTGAAGAGCAATATGGAATTATTCAAGGAAAGTTACCAAATGGCATCCTCCCCTTTGACCCAGTGGTCCCACTCATGGGTTTATGGCCCAGGGAGCTCACTGGCAGGAAGAAAGGGGCCGTCTGTGCAAAAATACCTTGACAGCTGTTCAATTAAGAGGGGCAAAAAGTTGGAGTCAACCATTGGGAAAGGAGGAAACTCACCGGGGCAGCGATATGATGGACTCTTACGGAGCTGAGAGGAGAGCCCAGCAAGAGGGTTCGGAGGAAGGCAGAGCGGCTTGTGTGAACTGAAAGCACGGAGGATGCACACACCCTGGCGTCGGCCCCACGTTGAAGTCCCAGCCAACGGCCTCCCTCTGGCTCAGCTGCAGAGGCGGCCTGGGCTCTGTCAGCCTCCGCGCTCGGTGGGGTTACGCTTACGGGTTTTCTGGAGTGTTTGTTAGGGTGATCCACTACGGGAAAACAAAATGCATCAATTAAAACCCACACCAATACCGTTGGCCCTTTGGTCTTGGTGACTCGGGAGCTGTCCTAATGCCCCTCTCCTTGTCCAAAGCATGAAGCCATCCGAGATCTGGATTGGAATCTCAGCTGTGCCGCTTGCTGTGTGACCTTGAGCAAGTCCCCTAACCTCTTTGGGACCCAGTTTCCTCCTCTGTCAACAGAAAGGGTCAGACTGTGTGGCCTCCTAGGTTCCTTTCCATGAATATCCCTTTATATGTTGTGTGTGCCCTGCCCCGCTTTGTGATGATGTCCTCCTGATAATGGAGATACAACCGGTTCTCTAGAGGAGAAAGCTCATCTTTTGTGGACATTCTCTAGAATGCCCAGGCTGTGTGAGCATGGGTTTCCTTCTGCTTCAGGATTTTCAAGGGCAAGGTATGATCACGTCAGTGTTTTCCCTTTTTTGATGAATTATAGCCTGTGTAGACCCCCTGTAATCTGTCTACACCAGCAATGACTTGAATGGATTTAAAACTTGCGGACAATGCCACCGGAAGGCTTCCTGCCCAAGGGCAGTGTTGTTAAAGCACCCTCAGTCATTGACCGGTATCTAAGACTTAAGTCTCCAAACTATATTCTCTCTTCTCAGAAGTTCTCAGGACTGAAAGTAATCAAAAGAACCAGAGAGAGAAAGACCAGGCAACATTCTTCCAAGACCACTCACATTCTACTTACCAGAGGCAGGTGGGTGGAGCCCTAGGATAGCCAAGAAGACCTACAGGAGGCCCACTTTGTCCATCCTTGTCCTTTCCTGAGTCTGGGGGGCTTCATGTAGGAGGCAGCACTTGAGCCGAGCTTGGAAGGAAACCAGGTGGAAGGGGACGTGGTGGTGGTTCTAGGCTGGCTGGTCAGCCATCGCAACAGAACTGAGACAGGAACAGCAGGCAGACCATTTTGGCCACATGGAAGAATAGGATTTAAACTTTTTT